TTGCATCCATTTCATGCTGTTCTTTATCTCATTGTCAATCATGCTATTCAACGAACTCATACTTTCCATGTATGCTCAAGCTGAATCGGAGAGGAAATTAATAAAGAATTGCGAAGTCTTATTCTGATGGTAGTTAAAGGACGAGTGTATGCGTCTTTACACAAAAATTGACCATTTAGTCATTGTTATTTCCACCACCTCCACTATGAAGGGAGGGGTATGCTTCCGATTGTGAGTTACACCAAATACTACGCTAACATCACATGTTAAAATTTGAATTGATGTTTTGTAATTACGTTCTTCGTCAGTCAGAATTCATATTTGCTAGCTATATTAGAAATAAAAGTATAGGTGTCCCATTTTTTAGACATTCAATTCTAATCATCCTACTTTTTTTATTCACATTTCAATACGAATAAAATAAATGCAAGGTCACACCTTTACAGGCACCAATTAGCAATATTAATTTATACCCTATCTGTCTTATTACATTTACATATTTATTATCAATTTGAACCTTGAAATTAGCCTGAATAACCAAGAAAATTCATGGTAATTTGAAATGATATCTTGCTAAAATGGCTTTATACTGGGATTATTGGGTCGATTTGGAATTGGAACTTAATAACCCTAGGTCGCCCTAGATTATTTAAGGCTGATTGTTGAGCGTTTCCACAATTAAATGGATATGACTCAAAATGCCACTATTTTTTTTTACTTTATTTACATTAAATTAATATTTAATAATTAATGTGATGGCTGAGCCTGCAAATTACTGCAAATTTTCTCAAATTGCAGCTTTTACAATATTTCGCGGCGCCCCTGTAAAGAGGCCGCGGCGCACATTTTGGCAATCACTGCATTGCGCATTAGAATGGACATTTCTACTTTTATCCACAATCATGTCTTATTTCTTAGTCCTCCTGCATCTGGCTGGTTGTCCGCGAGACAACTACGTCTGCTTTATCCAACGTGCCCACCTCCTTGGCAAGCCCCATGCCCCCTGGACCGAAGGATCAACTTTTACTCTTCCCATATGGTCAGCTCGCCTCTCGACCCGCTGCAACTGTCTTCTTTGATGCCAGTTTCGTGCCCACCAATGCCTCTGCGGTATTCACCTGCCCTTCTTCAGCGACCACCAACAGTGACCAGCTCACCTCATGTATTCAATAGTTGTAGTATTGTATACATATTGATCTAACTTAACTCGATAACAGGAGCTTATTGGTATTAAATCATTGATCCATTATGAAATCTAGTGTATGCAGAGCAGGGAAGGCTATGTTTAAATTTTTATTTCATTCATTCGCATTAAAATATGTCTCTTTCCTTATCATGGTGTGTAAAAAATGATCCTTGTTTTGGCATCACTCACTTATATAACTTGTCTATTTATTCAACTTCTTTATAAAAATTTATATATTTAACTCCATTTCTATTTTGATATATTACGCTATTTGTAAATCCGTAAACCTGAAATATGGCCAACAAGCTGAAGTTATCATTGAATTATATTTCCTAATCCTTCCATATC